CAATATAATGCAATACATATTTTATAGTTTTGTTTTTTGATTCATGTATGTATATCTTGTCTTCTCAAAGTAGATTATAAGCTGCTTTAAGGCAAACATTATATTTTATATTTCTTCTACAGTCTGCTAGTGCCTGGTGCAGTACTAGGTATTCAGTAACAAATATTAGTGGATTGAATAATTAATCTCTGCTGTGAATTCATTTCCCCATTTATTAGACTAGCTTAAAAATATCTTCTATCACACATCTATGCCTTTTTTCCCTTTTCTTTATATCCCCACCTCCAATCTTTTCCATTTGCATTCCATCCTCTCCATAGCTGAGATATTTACAGTCCTAAAGCACTGTTCTGGACAGGTCCCTCCCCTCCCTGGAATTCACTCCCTCTGCCCCTTAGAGTCCCTGCCTTCTTTCAAAGCTTAGCCTAAGCCAGCTCTCACTCAAGATCTACTCTGAACACTTTCCCCTGTTATTATTACCCTCCTCACTGGAAATTACTTTGTATATAGTTTGTATTTCATTTTCCATGAATATGTTGTTCACCCTTCTCTCCCTGTCAGGGAAGGGGTGGTTGTTTTTGCATTTTATCCCCAGCCCTTAAAGTCTGGCACATAATAGGTGCTTATTGAATGAATGAAAGAAAATGTATTCAAATTTACACTATCCGGAAGTTATAATTGTGTGAAATAGATATTAATTGGTTCCAGTTGAAGGGAAATACGCAGTACAAATCTGAAATAATGAGATGCCTTCAAGGGATCCTTATCCACACTATTCAGAACCTAGCTGTATGTAAAAATGAAAGGCATATATATTGCAGACAAAGAAATTCCTTTAAAATAACTGTCACCAATATGATCTTGGGCAAATCAGTTAACTTTTCTATATATCGGTTTCCTCATGTGTAAAATGGAGGCAGTTAAGTGGGGCCATGTTCCTGGAGTTAGGAAGACTTGGGTTTGAGTCCTGTTTCAGATTCTTACTAGCTCTGTGGTCCTAGGCAAGTCCTTTAAGGAATCTCAGTCTCAGTTTCCTCTTCTGTAAGATGGGCATGATAATTACACCACAGGGCTGTTCTGAGGACCAAGTCACTTCGAGGGGCCTCCGTTCCCCCCTCTGTAACATGGAGACAACTGGGTGGGACAGTGGACCTGAAGCTGAAATCCTATCTCAAGACAATAGCTGTGTAACCATGGGCGAGTCACTAAAAAAACAACCCCCCCAAAACAAAACTCTTTCTGCCTCAGTTTCTTCCTCTGTAAAACGGGGAGAATAATAATAGCACCTACTTCCCAGGTTGCTGAGAGGACCAAGGGATACATAAAAATCTATGTTAAGCGCCGTGGAAACTTTAAAGTGCTATTATTGTTAATGAAATGAGCGAGGATGGCTTGGATTGACATTCCAGCTGTGAGCCTGTCTCTGATCCCAGACCTTTGGGCTTTCTGGCAGGTGGATTCTTTCTTCCTCCCGTCCCATCAGTCTAGAGACTAGAAAACAACGCTATGAAGCGTTTATGACTATGAATCATCCTTCCCCACCCCGTCTGATGGCAACCGCGGAGCTGTCAGGCGCTGGGAAGGACAACAGCCCGGGAAGACTTCCCTAAAAAGGGAATGGGGGGAGCACGAATGGTCTCTTCCAGCTGGCTTCTTCCCCCTCCTCCTCTCTCAGCCCCATGGAACGTTCCATCCGAAGGCTCGAGCGCATGCTCTTCGTCACGTGGTGACCCCACGCCCAGCGCATTGACGACGCTACGGCCGGGTTGCCAGGGGAGGGAGACGGCGGCGAGGGAAGGGAGGGGGAGCCGCGGGGGGAGGGCTCAGCCTATTATGGGATGCTGCGGTGGAATGGCGCTGGGCGCGTGATTTTGAACAAACCCGGGTCTGTGTTTCGCAGGCGCCGCCGCCGCCGCCGCCGCGGCTGCCGGGAGCGGAGGGAGCGCGGGGCGAGGAGGAGGCGGCGGCGCCGCCGCCGGCTGTGGTGGGGGGGGGGGGGTTGGCGCGCGGAAGGGGAGGGCGGTGAGCTGTCAGTGGAGGGCCGCCACCAGCGCGTCTGCGCGGTGTGCCGGGCCGGGCCGGGCGGGGCAGGGCGGCGACGCGGAGCGGCGCGGCGCGGAGGAGCGCAGTGCCCGCGCGGGGGAGGGAGCCTCGCAGCCCGCCCTGCGCCCTGGCCCTTTTGTGTGCCGCGGCTCCCCTCCCCCGCCCGGGGCCCACCTGCCCCCCCCCCCCCCCCCGCCCCCCCCCCCCCCCCCCCCCGCCCAGGCTCCAGCCTCGCGAGCCGAGAAGTGACAGCCCGAGTAAAGTTTGGGAAAAGAAACGCTTCTTCCTGGGCGCGAGCGGAGCGGCGAGCCCGGGGCGGGGGTCCCCTGCTGGGGGTCCCGCCCCCTCCCCCAAAGCGGAGAGGCAGACCCGCGGGTCTACCTCGCCTGCCCAGCTGGTGTCCGAAAAAAGGGAATGACAGCTGGTGGCAGCCCCTCCCTGCCCCGCCCAGCCTCCCGACCCGACCTCTGCCTTGGGGACCTCCTCCTCCTATGAGTGATAAAAATGATAATAAAATGACGTTCACGTAGCGCTTCCCGTGTGCCGGGCACTGTGCTGAGCCCGGTACAGCTTGTACACAGACGTGCATACGTATGTGTGTATGTGTGTATACACACATATATACCCAGAGATATAAAATAGCTAACTGCTTACTGTGTGCCAGGCATTGTGCCGAGCACGTTATGGCTTGTACACAGACATGCATACATATGTGTATGTGTATGTATATATACATTTATACACACAGATAGAAAATAGCTAACAGTGCTTACTATGTGCCAGGCACTGTGCTGAGCACATTATGGCTTATACACAGACATGCATACATATGTGTATGTATATGTATATATACATTTATACACACAGATATAAAATAGCTTACATAGTGCTTACTATGTACCCAGCATGGTGCTAAGCACTTCACAGTTTAGATACAAACATACATATATGTGTATGTATGTATATACACATATATAAGATAGCTAACAGTGCTTTCTGCTAACTACTTTACAATTCATATGCACACATACAGACATAGGTGTGTATGTAGATATAGGTAACATTTGAAATACTTATTATGTGCCAGACGCCTTACTAAACGCTTTATTATATACATATAATAGCTAGTATTTGGGGCCCTAGGTGGACCAGTGGATAGAGCACTGGCCCTGGAGTCAGGAGGACCTGAGTTCAAATGTGGTCTCAGACACTTGACACTTCCTAGCCGTGTAACCCAGGGCAAGTCACTTAACCCCATTGCCTAGCCAAAAAAAGGAAAAAAAAAAGCTAGCATTTATATAGCACTGACTGTGTGCCAGGCATTGTGCTAAGGGCTTAACAATTTTATGTGTGTATTCACACATATGCATGGCTATATGCTCGTGCATATTTATGTATATATGCACTTACATACTTTATACATGAAGCACCCGCTGTATGCCAAGCACTAGTGATGCAAAGGCATTTCTACTTAATGTTGTAATTGAACATAATTTTCCTTCAGGTTGATCATCTCCCAATTTGTCCCCTGTAGATTTTGTTTGAACATAGTTGTTTTCATGTTGCCACCTCAGGGAACCGGGGAGCTCCTTGAAGGCAGGTACTGCTTTTCCGTTTGGATTCCCTGCCCTTAGCACAGTGCCTGGCTCGTAGTAGGCACTTTATCGGTGCCTGTTGACTTGTTTGCTGCCGGAGTCCGGAGAAAAGAATGTTTTTTTGTATCTTAGTCGATCTTAAGACTGCACTCAGTAAGAGAGGCTAATGATGGCAATTGACATAATCCGGAGATTTTGCGTACATTACTGTATCGGTGGCAAATCTATATCTTATGTTAGAACATTATACTGTGGAAATGCTTGGCAATTTCAGCTCAGTGTAGATTTCTCTTTTTTACTAACAATGTTAACAGCTTCTGGATCAGATGGCAACTAGGTTTACATTTTTTTCTGAGATCCGAAAGCGTGTTATACAACACACCGAGGGTAGAACAGCAGGGCACAGCGTTATGGGCAGGGATTTAAGAGTAAGCCAGTCCGAGGAAGTGGACTGGAGACTTTAGCGTCTGAACGTGTTGAAGGTCGGATTTTGGAGACGGTTCGGACCCGCCTTTGCCTGGGTCTCGCCCGGTCTGCGGGCTGTCCCTGGAGCTGGTGCTTCCCACCCCAGAACTGGGAGCCGGGGGAGGGGCGAGGCGGTGTTAGCGAGCTCGGCGAGCGTAGCTGCCGCTGGCTCCCCCCTGAAGACCGGAGGTTTGAGGTTTGGGTCGGGGATCCCGCGGGGCCTCGCACAAAAGCCCGCGGCTGCCGGCTGCCGGCCGCCCGGCCGGCGCTCCCGGGCTCGGCGCTCCGGTGCTCGGCTCGCGGCGCGTTTGAAGGTTGGCGCGGCGCGGGGGCGGGGCCGGCGGGGAAGGGGCGG